ATAAAATTTATATTGTACTTTCATCCAATGGTTATATATGTCTGTATTATATTTTATATCTATCTATTAAACTTCTATTACAAAATTGCCTATTCTATTACATTACCATGTCTTTTTGTCCAACCATTGATAGAACAAATCCCATATCATATAAAATTGTTTAACTTCTTATTCTCTAATTTCAAATGTCAATTTACTCATTTCAGCAGTCTATAATTTTCTTAATAACTTCCTCCTGCATAGGTATTTTTTCATTTTTCCAGTTCTTAGCGAATACAATTCTAGCCGCTGTTAGAACATTTACAATCAAATATTTCAGTTCTTTATTGTAGATTTCCAATATAATTCCCAATAAAAATATCTCTGGTTTAAAGTCTATGTGTTGTTTTATCATTTTTTCCAACCATGTGTGGATTTCTTAAACATTCTTGCGATTCTCATCAGGGGTAGATGCCACCTGTAAAACATCTTATATAAATTTTCTTTATATGCAGTTGACATTGTCATTTTACAGTTTTGAGACCACAATTTTTACCACTTCTCTAAATCAATCCCATATCCAAAAGGTTCCCCCCAAGCAATCATTGTTTCTTTAACTTGTTCTTCCTCCAATTTAAATTCTAATAAATGTCCATAAAGTTTTTTTATTACCTTTTCATCAGTACCCATCAAAATTTTATCCAAATCAGTCAACTTATCATAGATACCTTCTGTTCTAAAATCTTTATCAAATCTAGATTTTATTTGCAAATATGAAAACCAGTTCATTTTTACACCTTGTTCTTCCAATGCTTACATAGATTTAAGTTCACCCTTTTCATTCAATATCTCACCATATCTGTTTGTTCCTTTTTATATATTATTGGATATGCAAAAGCTTCAATCCTAGATATCCATATTTAAATTTTTAAATAATATTGTCTTATCTTCTCCCAATTTAAAAACAATGCCTCTCGAATGTAATGTCTTCTAAAATACCCGTTTTAGTTCCCTTATACCAGAGGAAAGCATGCCATCCCAACAGCAAGTCGTGCCCTTCTAAAATCAATAATCTATTGTTCCTTAATGTTATCCATTCCTTTACCCACATCAGATTTGTTGCTGGTAATATAATTCCCAGTTGGGCAAAGCAAATCCTCCTCTTGTTCTTGCATCTTGTGACAGTTTACATTTTATTCTCGCTTTCTTGCCCTGCCAAATGTATTTCAGCACAATTTTATTTAAGTCTTTGAAAAACTCTTTCCCTAATCGAATTGGAATTGTCTGGAATAGATATAAAATTCTAGGCAATACATTTATCTTAATTATATTCTCCCAATGATAATTGTAAGTTTTCCCATGTTGTCAAATCTGTCGCAATCTGCTGTTTGAGTTTAAAAGTTATCCTCCTTCAATGTGCTACATCTTGATGTAATATACATCCCTAAATACTTAACCTTATTTGTGACCTGTATTTCTAAGACTTCTTCCAACTCTTTCTTTTGTCTTGCTAGCATGTTCTTTGTTAATATCTTTGTTTTATCTTTATTTATTTTCAAATCTGCTACTTTTCCATATTCTCCTTTTCTATTAATTTAGGTGCTGTTTCCAATGGATCCTCTAATATAAATACCAGGTCTACAAAGGCTTGCAATTTATACTCTTCCTTTTTGAATTTCATTCCTTTTATTTCTTTTTCTTCTCTAATATTCCTATTCAACACTTCCAATGTTAACACAAACAGCAGAGGTGACAGTGGACAACCTTGTCTAGTCCCTTTTCTTATAACTATGGATTCTGTTAATTCTCCATTTAACATAACCTTTGCAGTTTGTTCATGATATATCGTTTCAATGGCTTGAATACATTTTTTACCATAACATAAATTGCCAACTCACATTATCAAAGGCTTTTTGTGCATCTAAAAACATCAAGGCCATTTGCTTTTTAGGATGTGCCTCATAGTATTCCATTATGAGAATTATTCTCATATTGTCTTAGATTTGTCTCTTTGGCAGAAATCCATTTTGATCAGCATGAATAAAATTATTTAAGTATCTTTTCAGTCTTTCTGCCAAGATTGAAGCAAAAATTGTATAGTCTGAGTTTAATAGGGATATAGGTCTATAATTTTTAACTTGCTGTGGGTCTGTCTTCCTTCGGTATAAGTGTAATATATGCTTCTGACCATGTTTTGGGTATTCTCTTCTTTGACATAACTTCATTCATGACTTCTAATAAATTACTTGATGTTTTTATCAGCATTTTATGCATCTTTTCAAAATGATATTACAATATTGGAATTCACAGCCCAAGTCTGTCAATTCTAAGATTTGCTTTTACCCATAATAATTAAGTACCGGTAAGTTGTTATTGTTTGAACTTCACTATGGTTTAGATCAGGGCTGTCAAACTCATGGCCCAAAGGCTGGATGCATCATATGCTGGCCATGCCCACTCTTGGTTTAGCAAAGGGGAAAAAAGTCACCATACATCAAATGACGCCGACCTGACGGAGCAAGTTCACGGATTGCCCAACATTTTGGCTTGCCTGGGCCCATTGAATGAAGAAGAATTGTATTGGGCTGCATATAAAATATATAAAGCATATAAATCACAAATTTATTATGTATTTTGTTATCTTGTGGGCCCATTACTGGCTCTCCAAGATCGTATGTAGCCTGTCGGCTGTGGACTGGACATGCCTGATTTGGCTCCTTCACTATGGTTTAAAAACAAATAACTCAAGTTTATACAATACTGTAAGCTACAAAAATGTAAAGTATATATTGACTTAGCATAACAAGTGTTTCTTTCCATTTCTATTTTGAATACGTCTACTCCTTTGATATAATTTTTTAGCCCATTAGTGGAAGTGGAAGAATTTTGTTTTAAGTACCATTTAAGAGCAAGGGGTAACAATAGAAATTATTGCAGCTCTGAAAATTCCCACAATTCTGGATAATTGGTATTTCACCAAAGAAAAGATTAAAGTAAATGTCAACGTAATGAAATCAGTTTAATTCTGAAACAAAACATTAGTATTTTGAAGTTGTGTTTTTATGCAGAAAGAACAAGTGAAGTGCCAGATGATAAATTTACTTAACGAAACATAGTAAACTAAAATGTAGCTTTGACTTAATTAGGACACTGCTGTTAGCTTATGGTTTAGTGTCTCAGCTGTTGTGTGAATACCAGTAATTACTTAACCAATCCATAGTTAACAAGTGTGCATGTCAAACACTATCTTGGATTTTAAAAAAAATCAATGTCCAAAATGGTCCTAGTATCCTGTGACTGTTCAAATCAAAATACTTTCAAAATTCATCCCCAAATAAATTATACTCTTTTTAGTACTATTTTAAGTTGGACTTTGGCATTTCAAATAGTGAATAAATAGGTTTCGTCTAATCTCATTATTACCAAGTGAAAATTGAAGTTTTCACCTGGGTGAATAATCTGAGTTTCTTTCCTCAGTTTTTCAAATTCGCTAAATCGACAGCTCGTATTTGGCTAGACTTGTTGGCTCTAGTTGGCGCTGACAGCGCAGTATGGTGGAGCGGCCGTTCTGCGCGAAGAATGGTCGCGTTCGCGGCGCATGAAAATTAGCGTCCATTCCCAGTATCGAGGGCAAAGAGCGAATTAAAAACTGTTCAAACTGCTCCCTCTATTGCCTCACAAGTAACCGAGGGAAATGCAAAGCGACAGCCTGTACAGGCGAGGTAAAACAGGGTCCAGTGGCTTTAACTCAGCTTCTTTCTTCACGCCTTTCTCCAGGGAATAACTACTTTGTGTACGGAATTGCTGCAAGGTGGAGCGAGAAAGGAAAGGCGGTGGTGCTTTTTCCCGCCTCTTTCCTCAGAGGAGGTATAAACAAAATGGGAGACGACGTGGGTTTGATCAACCACACCAAAGCCTGAGCCTGAGGACGCCCCCGTTGTTGAGAAGCGGGCGTCAATCCCAGGGCTAAGCAAGGGGGGAAATCAACCACGCAAGGGAAGTGCGCATCCTCCATTTTGGCTGAGGTAGGGTGGAGAGCTTGGCTTTCTCTCTCCTTTGCCGCCCTGGCAATTGCCAGTCCTATTCAACAGTCGTAGGACATTGCCAAAGGCGCCCTTTGCGCTTTGCCTCGATCCTGAGGCGAAAGGCAGTGAGACTAAGCGCCTCACAAAGCCCCATACTGGCTTGGAGTGGTCCCAGGTTCCCTGCAGCAGCTTCCGACAAAATGGAGGACACCACCATTACCAACCATTACCACCATCACCACCAGGAGCCGTGCTTGGCTGCTTGAGACGCCTTTTCTTGACTCGGAATAGTTGGGAGCCCGAAAAAGAGTCCTCCTGAAGACAGAGATCCTTCTCCTCGGAGAAGACTAATTGGCTGCCCGCTCCTTAGGTTTGGGACTTGGTTTCTATTATTCTGCCACTTCTTTAGAAAGGGTTCCAGATCCACAGCCCAAGGGGAGGGGGAGGGAAAGCGTCTAAAACCCGTTGGTTTTATATTGCAATATCTTTCCTTGCCGCCTCACCTCAGAGCTTGGTGTTCAAACCCTGCTTTTACCCCTTGTCCTTGTGGCAAGAGATTTAATTGCCCTGTGGCAAACAAATTAATGGCTAAACACCTTCCAGGCTGATAAATGACATGGGGGACTTAGGGAAGCCATCGCCCTTTTCTTGAGGAGAGGGAAGCGAGGCAGAACAAAACTTCTGCATGAAACTATTCAGCAGCGACGGTAACCACCGGGATTGCAAACCTTCCCCATCCAGTTGAAAGAAACAGAAGTGCTGCAGCTGTTGGTGGTGGGCAATACAATTCGGGTTTTCTTTAACCTGGTGGAACCAAAGGAGGAGGGACGGAAGGCGTGTGCGGGCAGCTAATTGACAGAAACTTCACGCAACCAGCGACGGAGACCGCCGATAGACGGGCAGTTTCTCCAATGTTTTTGCCTGACACCAAAGCCCTCCCTCTTGGGAAAGCCAATGGGCGGTAACACTAGGCGGCCTTTCCCCGTGCTCGGATGGTTAGGTTTTGTCCCTCCTCCTCCCCTTCGCCAGCAGCAGCGTTTAGCCCGGGACTGGACCGAGATAGAGTTGAGGAAGCGTTGGCGGAGCCGCGGAGGGTGCGTTTTACCCGCGGGCGGGCGGGCGGGGTGGGGGAGCGACTTTGGCCGAGCTCGGCGTGGGGATCAGAGGGACGGGTCGAGGTAGAAACAAGGGGAGCCGGGTTAGACGAACTGGCTTGAAGCCCAGCTGCCCTTTCAGGGTGGGGACAGGAGCAGACCAGCCGCGCGTCTAGGGAACAACCCGGGCTAAATACCCCGCTGCGTGTTGTTCTGGCGGCTCTTGCCGCCCGTTCCCTCTTTTCCCGCCAGTAGATTAAGGAAGCAAGAAAGGGTCAGCGGCGGGTAAGAATCGGGAGGGCGGCAGCCCGGTTACGACGCGAGACAGGCGCTTGGGCAGACATGCGGAGAGGGCTGCCGTGGGGTATCTGGGTGCGTGCGTGTGCAGTGGGGGGGCGCCATATCTCCCCGCCCGGCTTTATTTCCAACTGCCTCCTGGGGGCCGTGAGGGGAGGGAGTTTGTTCCCCGTCTCATCGCGGTTCCTTCTTCCCTCGGGGAGGGGGAGGGGAAGTCGGTAATTGCGCTCCGCGTTGCGCTCCGCGGATCCTCTTTCTCCCCTCCCTTATTGTTTGGCTGGGTCTCTTTAATGGCGGCCGACTGGAGGCGGCAGTGCTGCGAGCAGACTGCAGGGGGCCGAGCGCAACTCCCGGGGCAATTGGCAGAAAGAGCGGGGCCCGGGGTAGATTTCGGCGCTCGGGGCGGGGGCAAAGGGGAAGGGAAGCGAGTTTTAGACTCCGTCCCGAGAGTTTTGAACCGTGGAGGGGAAGGTCTGGGTCGGGGGACTTTTTCGGCTCCACAGTCTCACGCGAACAGCAGAAACTCCTTGTTTGTTGCCCGTTGGGGCAGTCGCGTCCGAGGAGGGAAGACGCCCCCCCCCCGACCCCTGGTGCGAAGGGGGGGCCATCCGTGAAGCGCCGTCGGTGGGCCAAGAGGCTCCAGTATCCCTTTTGGAAGGGCATCTAGAGGGGCGCTGGGTACCAACTCCAAAGCGGTGGTGGCCACTCCGTCTCCTGCCTATTGGAAGGGCGTCTCCTGGAGGGAAAAACGGGAAGGCCATGCCAACTACCCCTGTAGATGCCCCCCCCCCGGGCTTTTCTTCTCTTTCCCCTTGACCAGCACCTCTTTTCCCTAGGCTGCGGGCCAGTTTGGCGCAGCCTTGGCAGAGCCCAGCAAGGAGAAGGAGCTCCCATTGTGAGTGCTATTTATATTTGTTTTCCTGCCTCGGGAGGCGGAGGTAGAGCACCCATTTTTGGCACGAGGGCTGGGGGTGGGTGGGGATTAAGAGGAGGTGCCTCTCAGGCAGGGTATGTGGGGGTGGGGTGGGGGAAAGATGGTTGGGTGCAGCAGCTGCTGCTCCTACCCTAGAGCAAAGCCCCGGTAATGGCCGGGAGGCGACTCCACCCCCGCGGGGTGGGCTCTGTTGCTGCAGACATCGCTCCTGCAATACCGACACTGACAAGCAGACGACGGGCTCCTGCCGCTGCTCGCCTTGCCCATCGAGGGGGCGGGTATCTTTCGAGCGCCCTCTAGAGTTTTGGAGCGTACATTCAAGTGGCATATCTTACACTGTTTTAAATGATTTCCATCCCAACTCTGAATCCCCCCACAATCTTATCTGACCCATTTGACAGGCAGCAAGGAAAGGCCTTTAAGAGAAAACCCACTTTGGGGCAAAGGTGTGCCTTATCTCTGTGTTTGAATCCCATAATTTTTTCCCCTTCTTTTCCAAATGGATTTGCTTGGGGTTGGAGGTGGAAAGATCAAACCATCATAGGTGGTGGTGGTTTTTTTTTTTTTCCAAGTTGTAGTAGTTCATACTTGAAAACAGCTATCTGTGAGGCCTGGTTTTCCCTTGAAACCTTTGAGGTTGTTTGAGAATCCTGTGGACTGTTGTGTATTCAGTTGTGTCTCATATTTTCAAGATGGATACAGTTGCTTTCTTTGAGCAAAATCTTTATATAGTAAGTCTATTTTTGCATTCTGAAAACCTTACATTTACTGGTCCCATTCCCTTCACCTTACTAGGAAGAGTTTGGAATCCCTAAATGGCAAAGTTACTTGGCAAAGGCCACCCTATTGGAAACAATTACAGGCCTATTGCCTGATACATAAAATAATAGTAGTTTTCAACATAATCTACATGGAGGATTATTTAAAAGAAACCATTGGTGATATTTCAGTATCCAGAACCATAATTCAGTGGAATGATATTGAGAGAGATGGGTGGGAGAGTTTAAATATTGGTTTTATATTTAAATAAATGGCTTATAAATAAGACCATACGAAGCTGATTCTTAAAAACTGTCAATTATTTTACAATTATAGATGTGCCAAATAATTTAATGGGCATACAGATTAGATGGTAAATCTAATAAAAAGACCTCTAAATTTGGATAGAACATTGTTAAGGTTTTATCTTTAATGTTAATGTGAAATCATACAAAGATTAATGTATGTTTTATTGTTACAGATCAATTACATATTAGGCCAAGGCCCTGCTTGACTTTTTAAAAATCTTAAATCTTTTCTTAAACTGAATTTCTTACTCTTAAATCTGCGTATTTTAGCAGTATCATAGATAACAAAGGATGAGTTACTTTTACTAATACTGTTGTTTATTTTGCTCTCCCCATGCTCAAAAGTGGACCACTAAAAATAGCTGTTGCAGTCCTAGGATTAAAAAAAACACTAGTTTTTCTGTTTTTCAACAGTGGTATATATCTTAATATATTTTATGAGTCCAACCAGTTTGTTCATTCAGTGTCAGTGGATAAAGAAACCTTGAAATTAAGCGACTTTAATTTGTTCATTCCAATAAGAATTATGCTGTTTTAAAAAATTATGGTTTGCTAATTAGGAAAGTTGAGAAACCAGATGGAAATATTGGATAAATACCGAAAATAAAATTTGGTCAGTTCTAAAGAAATTTTACATATCACTTAAACTAGAGAACATGAAAGTCTTACTGTGATCTACTTATATAATAGTTACAAGTAGGCAAAGGAGTTTAACAGTATACAAGTCTGCCTGCAACATATTTGTCCTTTAAAACCACATGTGATATGAGATGGAGAGTTTGAAAATTTTCTTATTTTGAATTTGAGTGTAGAAGCTGACATGTGATTCATATCTTTGGTTTGGTTATTATAAGATTTCATTATATGGGAGCTTCTTGAATAGAAATAGTTGCTCATACAAAATGTTCAATTGAATATTTAACTGAAAGCACAAATAGGTTGGTGCTGTTTGCATTGTACCAAATAATCACTTGATTTGTTGGTTTTGGTTTAGATGGTTTTCTGAAATCAGCTATTTTATTCAGTAAGCCATAAAACAATCCAAAAATTTATCTTGTGTGTAGCTTTGTATTTAAAATTAGCTTTTAAGTTTCTGGTAACATTTAGAGTATTGAAACCAAATAAATATTTTTATACAGAAATCAAGCATAGGTCTACTGGAGATCCTGAATATCTAAGAACAGGTTTTATATTTATTCTATTCTTATTCTACTTAGTCTTATTCGACTAATCCTCTTCAAAAGTTGAGTGAATGCCAGGCAATATAAACGTTTCATAGAAAGTATCTTCTGACTTAAACTTGTACGTGTAAAAATAAAACTCATCTCCACATTTGACTTATTTTTTTAAGGCAGGTTATTTGATTCAAAATAAAACTTGGATTCTCACATGAGAATTTATGCTGTACACTTGATTCTTCGTTCTTTCTGTCAGAAGGAATAGTTAAAAAGATCTGAATGATTTTGTGCAACATGTGTGAACTGGTTAGTCTTATCTTGCTCTTTTCTAAGAGGTAAGAATTACAAGTAATTATTCTTAAAGTGATTTTGGCTTAATAGAAAAGGAATAAAGCAGAATGCCTAGTTCTCATATAAAGATAAATAAATCCCAGGCAGACATGAACGAAAATCAATAACTATATAGCACCCGAATCTATAAACGGTTGGTTCTTGCCTTACAACCACTTCTGTAATGCTGGTTTGAAGCCAGGATAGTGCTGAAAAAATGACTTACAACACTCCCTTGAAGCTTTAACCATTGAACCACCCTCGGAATCACGGCCACATGATTCAGTTATTTTGGCATTTAGCTTGCATTTATGGAGGTTACAGTGTCTTGCAGTCAAACACAGCCAGCTTCTGACAAAGTCAATGGGGAAACCTGGATTTGCTTAACAAATTTGTGATTCACTTAATTGAAATTCTGATTCCAATTGTGGTCGTTTATTGAGGACTACATGTACTCTGTTCAATTTGAGTTATTCCTAGTCCTGCTTATAGTCTCTACCTTTGCACACATGCACTTTCACAACCTGGAGTAACAGTTAATTTTTTTGCTAATATGAGCTCTACTTTTATAAAAGGTAGTCTCAACACTAATATTACAGAGTAATGGATGATTTATATCCATACATTTAATAAAAACTTTTAGTCTTTAAGGCGCCACAAATTGCCTTTAATTTTAATTAGACAAGGATCAGGTGATAGAAGAAAAAAATCTGCCTATAACTCAGAAGAGTTTTCAGTCAGTTGTAATTTCCTTGTTGAAAGTGGGCAAGATAGCACTGTTTCATTTTATATAGATAAACAGAATGTTCAGTGTATAGAGCAGCTGTTTTCAGATTGTCTTGCCCAAACTGAAATGTGCTTTTTAGAAGTTTTGATCCATACATGGAATTAAACAAGGCTGTCCTTTTCCAGATATGGCCCTAAATATGATTTTGGGAGTTGGGTTTTAGAGCAGAAAAAGTAAAGTATGAACAAAACACAATGACTGGTGTAGGAATAAACTGAGATGCCTAGAGATGGGAAAGTTTGGAGAAAAATTGGAGGAATTCCCCCCCCCCCCCAAAAAAAAATTTTTTCTGGGTTTTTTTTCCAGGCCTTCCCATCTCTAGCTATGCCTGAATTCAAAGATACTGACTGGAGAGAAAGGGAAAGCATTGGGAATGTGAACAGGTGAATAAGTGGAGAGGAGGATGAGACCCTCCAACCGTGTCTTACTTGCCTTATGAGATCTCTCCAGATATTTTTCTGTCAAGACAATAATCAAAATGGGTTTTGACTGTGCAGAACTTCAAAACATATGTTTTGGACATGAATACATTTTGCAAGTCCATTTTGCATTTCATTAAGCTATATTGAGAGCTGGCAAGATCATTGCAGTAAGAAGAGACATACTAGGTGTGAAGAAAGTAGGGAGGAAGCAATGTGCATTCTTCTATAAAATCAATCTAGGATACCCCAGATTTTGTTTTAATTAAAACCAGAACAACGAAGCATTCTGCATTTTGCTTTGACTAATCAAGAACACTTCAACAGAACTTCCAGGAAACTTGTTTGTTTCATGTTCAGAAAAAAACTTCAAATCCGTTAGGCTGAGAGGTGGTGACTGGTCAAAGATCACCCAAAGAGTTGCAAAGATAAGTAGGAACTTAAAAATGAGGTTTATTGTTACAATTGTTGATCTACTACCCTGTTTCTCCAACAATACAGCCTCCCCAAATAGGAAGTCCCAGCATGTTTTATAGGCATGAAATGAAATTAAGCCCCTCCCCCCAAATTAAGGCCTATATTAAAACATGCGAAATGGGGGGGAATGGTGGGGGGGCTTGCTGTTAGGAGGTACTTCTGTTGCACACCCGGATATGGTCCTGCCTACATTGACCCCAATACGAAGTGCCCACCAATGCCGAGATCAACATCCAAGCCGTCGCCGCCCACGCGAAGATGCAAGGGGTGGAATTAAGTCACCCCCCAAAAGACGGCCTAGCCATTTTTTCGGGGCTCAAAAAAAATAAATAAGACCCAGCCTTATATGAGAAACACAGTATTAGCTGAAATTTTAGCTATTTCTAGAGCAACATACAAATGTTTGTGTTATAAGCACCCACCAATTTTGATTATAGACTTACTGTAATTATGAATATAAGGTAAAGGTTCCCTTCACACATACGTGCTAGTCATTTCCGGCTCTAGGGGGCGGTGCTCATCTCAGTTACAAAGCCAAACAGCCAGAGCTGTCTAAAGATGTCTCCGTGGTCATGTGGCCGGCATGACTAAACGCCAAAGGCGCCTGGAACACTGTTACCTTCCCACCAAAGTAGTCCCTATTTTTCTACTTGCATTTTTACATGCTTTCGAACTGCTAGGTTGGCAGAACATATAGTCATATATTTATAAACATATTTTTTTTTTAGCAAACTTCAGTTTGAGTATGCTCATGTTTAAAGTCACCAGGCAACATGGTAATTCTTTGTAAAAATACTGATGGTCCCATTGCTCTTTGAACAGAAATTCATGAATAAGTCAGTGAAATGGTCATTCCATTTGAAGGGTTTGTAGTGTGGGGCATCTCTTTTTAAGATATAATAAACATTTGTTTTTGTTCCAGTGTCCACTCAAATCAGTTGAATGTGTTTGTGAATTCATTTTATTTATATTCATTTATATATTCACTTATTTATGAAATTTATGCGCCACCTCAATCCAATAGGACTCTAGGCAGTTTACAATAAATAATAAAATTCAATAATTATAGAATGATACAATAGAGTTAGAGCAATACTTGATCTGGTATAGGTTAAGCAAAATAGTTTCTCAACAAGCCTCGAGTTTGAGACTGAATTTATATTTAGTTTATTTACTTTTTTTAACTAAAGCAGTGCTAAAACTTAGGTTCCACTAGAGTCAGGAAGAGTCAGTCATAAAACAGCAATATAGGAAAGTTAATGTTTGGTAGACCTGAAGGGTAAAGCCCACAAAAATGTTCAGTTCATTGATACATTACTACAACATGTGCATATTTTCTGTCAACAGGCAATACTGCTCACACCTAATGGGCTACAAATATAATATTAGTCATATTACAAATGTGTTGCAGACACAAAGCAGAAACTAAAGGTACATGCAGTTAAATCATTTAAATTGATATGTCCAAAGAATGTGAGTTAAGGCTAACTAAATTGCAAATGATGTCTTGTATTTCTACAGGGATATTTAATGAGTTGATATCAGGGAAGGCGACTTTTAAGGATGCCATTTTTCAGTATGAATAGCCTTTACTGTCTCCTCTTGTTCATATTTTTGAATATAATTAGAGAAATAGCTATAGAAGAATATATTTTGATAGGGAATCAGCTATAGAATATTTTAAAGAAAAGAGGATCTAGATCCTTTTCAGTCAAGGTCCATACCAGACACAGACAGAAAACAGCATCAGTTATTCTTGGACATCACCTTTCTCAGAACCTGGATATAGTACACAACATTTGGGCCTATTGTGTGCAGCCATTAAGTGAATCTAGTTTCCCCATTGACTTTGCTTGTTGAAAGGTGGCTGGGAAGGTTGCAAATGGCGATCACATCACCTTGGACCCGCAACTGTAATAAATATAGGACAGTTGCCAAGCACCTAACTTTTTGATCACATGATGATGGGGATGCTGTGATAGTCGTATGTGCAAGGGGTGGTCAGTGCACTTTTTTAGTGCCGTTATAACTTTGGTCGTTAAACAAATGGTTATAAATTAAGTACTACCTGTATTATGTGCTGACTATGTCCAAAAAGGGATCTTGTTCAGCTTTTTATGATACATCAGAACATTTGCTTACCTTAAGGTGTTGCCTTTGCCAAAAGGAGTCAGCCCAGCTGGTTAGATAATTAAGAGGGGTAAGGATAACTGGCCTTTTTGGTTGCAGCCTAGTGGTACATCTTGACACAGAAATACATTTGGATCCTTCTGGCTTTTAGGAAGCTTCTAAAAATCAGCTTTCTCCAGTATGCTGATGAGAGAATCCAAAGAATAGGTTAACTCTGTCTTTCTGCCCAAAGACTGAGTCCTTTTAAACTTTGTAGCCACGCCTCTTGATTGTGTCCCAGTTTTGACTCAGTCTTAGCCCAAGAGAGACATGTTTAACAAGAGCTCTATAGAGCAAACCAGCAGAGTTAAATTCTTTGGATTCTCTTGAAAGTCAACTGGAATCAAACCTGTTGCAAACGGCAAACACAAAGGCTGGCTTCCCCGGCTTGTCCAGCATAGCCGCCACAATGAATCGGCTGGCTCCCCTGGTCTAACCAGCACTTCTTTGCCAGTCCAAAATAAAGAAACACTTGTGTATAAATGTTATGGGCACTAAATAAATAAAATAAATGATTTTACTTGTAAAATATGGGAGGCAACTTTATGTACACACACTCATAAGCATTACATATAAAATTCATATTTTAGGATTAGCACAATCACACGATAGCAAATTAACTTGACTATGTGCCACAGAATTTGTAACTATAATGGCTCGTGTGTCTAAGTAAAATAGCTGGCAAAATATGTGTATTGGTAGTAATTGCCTTTTGGATAAGAATGGGTTAAGGATACTTTTTTAATGGATATTGCTGCCGCCATTCCATTCTGATGTGTGGAAGATACCCAATTGGAATTTGCAATATCCCATGTTCCCAGTTCTATCATACATGAATCTTCAGATATGTTTGGAAATATCACTTATTTCATGTTTTGTAGATAGGATAGTAGCAACGTAGTCTAGAACACAGTGTTGCTGTTTTTTCGATTTGTATAGATGCTTTCAGCCTGTGGATGTTGCAGATTTTTTTTTAAACCTGATCATGAATTACTGAAGAAGCTTGTTGAAATATATAAAACTAAATATGAGGATTTTTACAGATTGTCACTATGCCATTATTGTAACCTAAAATTAGTGACTATAATAATGTATTAAAGTTGCAAGCTGTCCAACTCCCAAACTCCTTGTCTCTCTGTATAGAACAAAAAATATACTAAAGAGTAACTTCATTGGCTTACTTAATCTTATGTAGAATTGCATTAAGACAGATAGGGTGAAAGTAATTGGTGCCAAACAGTATAAAATACTTCCTTTGCTGCTACTTTAATATTACCATACTTTCCCATGAAGAGAGCTAGACATGAATCTTGCCACTTGGTTTAGTTATGAAAAGGATATGAACAAGTGGGCAGGCAAGTGAATATTACTGGTAGCAGCAGAAACTTTCAAATAGTTCATTTGTGTTTGAAGTATAGGAACTGTTGTACATTGTATATGTTCAGACTAAAAATGGACAGTTTTGTGTTTTTTAAATAGAGAAATATTTTGAATAATGGAATAAGAATAAATAAAAATAAGGCCATAATCTAAGCTGCAAAATATTTTACTATAATTCTTCAATTTTTTTAAACAGTAGCTTGGAATACTGCACTAACAGGACCAATTAGATAATGACCCATTTTCTTTCCTCAATATTTATGGCCTGAGCAAATTACCTTTTCTTTTGCTACTAGATATTTAAACATATGCAGATGTTAGTTAACAAAGTTTCAAAAGCCATTTTTAGGTGTTAGTTCAAAGGAAAGTTTTAAAAAATCCACATTGAAATTTTTGGTCAATGGTAATAAATTAATGAGGAAAATAACGTGATCATGTGACTTTTTAAAGGAAGATAGTACTGTATCTACTTTGGGAAATGTTGCTTGCAATGGGAAATACATTGATGTAGTATTTTTATGATATTCACTGAGATTCTGCTGAGGGTAAACTTGACTATACTGTTCATCTCAACAGCCAACTTGCTTTTGAATTGCTTTTAAGGATTTAAAAATCCTTGCAATTAAAATTTTAATTACTTTATTGTCACCTTCATGGCAAATTTGCATTCTCAATATTTATTAAATCTATTTCAGGATGCTTATTTTCAAAAAACGATTTCCAGTTTATCTAGAGAAGTGAGCAAATTCCCAGAATCAAAAAGGCATTGGAAAACTTTTATCTTTACAAATTACTGGATGTTTTTCAATAGGTAAGTATTTGGATTTGAAATACAAATATTTTTTAAATATTAACTGCTTAAAGCAATCAGTTGAATGGGAAGGGGAAATTAAATATAAAATTAATAAAAAAAAGATTGAACATAAAAAGTTAATTGAAAACAGTAGCTTATATAAATAGTTAAAAGAGCTTAGTTACTTATGCTAACCAAAGTAAGAATTAAACATTTCCCAACTGAGAGGTAAAACAATTTATTCAGAATTTCAGTTTATATTGATCTTGTGCAATTAGGGGAGGGAAAATATGTCAAGCTAAATGTATTTGAACTGGAATATTTCATTTTTCTTTAATATTTCTTTATATTTCAAATGCCATAAGTTATACATGAAAGTAGGAATTGTCATGTCTGGGCTGCAAAAATACAGCAAAATACTTAGGTAGTAAGTGTGAGACTTTTTTTCATACTTTTATTGCTATCTAGTAGATACCTAAATTTGGCTTGTCTTGATATGGTATATTTATGTGAAAGAAAGCCAGAATTTTCAAAATGTTAGCTTATTTTGACTTGGCAGATTGCTGATTTGTACAGAAATTGTTTTACTAGATTATAAGTAGCTTAATGGAACCCAGTTTGATATAGTAATTACATTTACTGGGCTAGAAATGGGAGACTGTGTTCAGTCCTTAGTTTGAAGCCACTAAGGAGTGTCTTAGAATACTGATCATTCTCTCTCAGCCGTTGGAAGAAAAGAAAGTAGTAAACTACTTTTGAAAATATTGCCAAGAAAACTGTAGATCTCTGTAGTTGCAGGAGTCAAGACTGACACAGAGCTGTAGATAGGTAGATGGATGGATGGATGGACAGACTGACTAATGGACGGATGGACTGATGGATGGATTGACCAACCTTTATTAATTCAAGATTTTATTGGCAACAAGTAGATTGGACCTGTACAAACCCTAAATTTGATTTGATTTTATTTCATTTAAATTCAAACAATATAATCCATTGGAATAGACAGACCAGTTTTTTGCCCAAACCTGATGTCATGGGCTGAGAGAGATGACTGTCCCACAGTCACCCATCTGCCCAGCTTAGTAATGTCTAAAGTGGGATTACAACTCAGTCTCCTGGTTTCTACTTGGTGTCTTAACTACTAGAACAAACTGGCTCTTCTCCAGTATTTTTAATTGTTTCATTTCATTGATGACATGCTGAAAATTTTGGTGAAAATTTTTGAGGAAGCTCCATGTATCACATCCCCAAATTGAGGGGGGGCACATGTGGCCCTAGAACTTCATATTTAATTAAGACAAACAAGCTACTTAACTTTGATTGTAACATGGGACTAGGAATTCACTTTCACTATCTTAAAAAGTCACGGTTTGTTCTTGGCTCTTAGATTGCAATTTTGCTTTGTTTCAGAGAAACAGTTTGGTTCCTGGGTTACAATGAACAACAGAAGTTGCTTTTTTAATTGAGTCCTGCTTTACAAGAGGAGATGATAGAGCACTGGGCTTTGTCATTCAATAGAATCTTGCTTTGTTTTATTTAGAACATATTTAAATAAATTAGTAAAAGAAAGATGGTACTTTGAAAAATAGTTTAAAAATAACCAGATGATGTTATAGTGAAACTGCTTTCTCTTTTTGTAACAGTTTTTCTGGAAGGCCAGAAGGTAGCTGAAAATTGGCGTTGTCTGAACCTACGTCTGGTTTATAAGGGCTTATCACAATGGCAACTGGCCTAGCCAATGTAGGAAGCTCTTTTGGAGGTCCATCTAATTCTCTGGTGTCTAGATCTAAGTTCCAGAGTACCTCCATAGAAGATGATGATGATGTTGTGTTTGTTGAACCTGTACAACCTCCACAAATCTCTACACCATTAATAACAGACCACAGAAATGTTTTTAATTCATCCAGTAATGAAGAGCAACATGGAAGTGACCCTAAAATATCTGCTCCGTCAAAAGACATGAGCGCTCAGAAGGGAAGTATAACTGAGACTATTATTATTGATGATGAAGAAGACATTGAAACAAATCAGGGACAAGAGAGAAATGATTCCAGTTTCAATGAAAGAAGATTTCCAGAGGGTAAAAACAGAACCAATGAAATGGAATTCTCAACATCCAGTTTTTCAAGAAGTAAGGTAAATGCAGGAATAGGTAATAGTGGTATAACCACAGAACCAGACTCTGAAATTCAAATAGCTAATGTTACTACATTAGAAAGAGGTATGAGCTCTGTGAGTGTTGGCCGTTTAGAAAATACTGAAGGGCGTGACATGAACTTAATGATAACACATGTAACATCACTACAGAATACCAACTTGGGAGATGTATCTAACGGACTGCAGTCAAGTAATTTTGGTGTTAATATACAAACATACACCCCATCTTTAACTTCACAGACCAAGACTGGTGTAGGACCTTTCAATCCCGGTAGAATGAACGTAGCTGGTGATGTCTTTCAGAATGGAGAATCTGCAACTCATCATAATCCAGGTAGGTTATATCTTTATGTATATTTTTATCCTAAGACTTGAAAATTCTCATAAAGCCAATTATATTCTAAGTTCTTTTGAAACTTATTTTGGTTATTGTACTTTGTACTTTAAAACTTAAAGCAAATTGTACTTTGCTTTAAAACTTAATTTAAATCACACTTTTATAATAAAGGTGCTTTAACATTTATTGAGTACAATTATCCAGAACTTTGGGGCCTTTAAATGAATTCCTATCTTTTGGGGCTGATAAGCAAATTAAATATCTTGAGTATTGTAGATTCCTTTATAATAAGGCAATCATGAGGATGTAGACAGATGTTCCAATATTATGTTATATATGTTAAATATTGGAACTAATATATTCTATATTTGATGGGCTGTCACAGAAAAGAGTGGGACAACCTTTCCAAATCATCTGAAGACCAAACAAGGAACAATGGATGGAAACTGTTCAAGGAGAGATTCAACTTAGAAAGGAGAAATTTTCAGACAGAATGATCAACCAATAGAACAGTTTGCCTTTAGAAGTTGTGGGAGCTTCATCACTAGAAGGTTTCAAGAAGAGACTCGACAGCCACTTGTCAGAAATGGCATAGGGTCTCCTGCTTGAGCAGGGGATTGAACTAGATGACCTACAAGTCCCTTCCAACTCTTGTTATTCTAAGTCTTCTAAGAATGTCTACACTGTGCAGAAAGAGAAAGTGTGAAATTAAAAGTAATTTAAGATAGAATCTAAGAAAAAATTAGATGGATCCTAGTTGTGAAACAGAAAATCATTTAAACTCTTCTCTAAAAGTGAGCTTGAGAAAGATAAGCTTCTGAGAAATTGATTTAACACAGGAGCAGAACAGAAGCTGAACACCACGCACTAAATCCTGTATCTTCCCAAAGCATAAAAATAATGAATTTTTAATTTATTTTATTTCTTTGTTAAATTTTTTTGCCAATCATTTTGCCTGTCTTACAAAAACATACTCAAGACAAACATTACCACATGCAGATGGAATAGCAAAACCATTTATTTCCCAAGGGAGCACTTCCCAACACTTTTCCTCCCTTGCATCCCAAGATATGCTCATTGCTCCTACTTACATTTTTTGTGCTTTTACTGGCAACTCTCATTAGAAACTGTCTGGTATTCTTAAGAATGAAAGATTGCATTGGAGTCTGGCAACCTGTTTTGAAAACTTCTTTTTTTAGCTGGGTAATTTGAAATACAATCAATAACTATTATGCAGGCTATCCACTGTAAGATTAAGCTGAATATTCTCAGCATTTTTTCTATTTGAATAAGCACTAAATATATTTGGGGAAAATCTGTCAAGGCATAAGTTTGTTAATAAACTTAAAATGAAACCATACTTGTCTAGCTGTTTATATATAAAACTGACAGTGGCAATCATAGAGATTTGCTGAGCTCCAATAGCTTAACAGTTGCATGCAGTAGGATTGAGAAGTGGGAATTAGGGAATGTGCTCACTCAAATCAATCATTGAATTACTGTGCAATGGTAGCACAGTGTATTATGATACTTTGTAGTTTTACTTTTGAGTCTGTCTTTTAGATAATTAGGGGCTGTATACAAGTTTAATAATTTATTTGCATTATTTATAAGCCACCATTTAATAAAATTTCTTACTATTTATTACAAAAATTCTACATGGAAAGCCAAAGAAATTAATTCTTAAATTTATATGCTGCCCCTTCTGATGACTCGGTAGTTTACAGATAAAACAGTTTAAAACAAAGAACAATGCAAAAAAGAAGCAAGACAAAATGATGACAAACAAAACAAACCTGGCAAGAAAGAAGTATTCTGACACAGGCTTCTCCAAACATACTTAAAGACAAACTTATTTTAAAAGCAAAACCTATTTTATTGCAACACTTGGAATTACTTTCATTCCCAGCCAGAACTAATTATAAACAGTTCCCCAAAATAAGCACACACCTTTCAGTGCTGTGGAATGTTGACAAAAACAGAAGTATCCAATTATAACAGAAACCAACTGAAATACCTGAAAAAAACCAATCAGAGCTTCAATGAGGACTTGAAATCTATCGAACTACTTCGCTTCCTGCAAAACTTTCGTTTTTGAGGTCTGACTTTTATCCCTTATGGGAGGGGCAATCACCTCCCAGCCTTACTCCCAAGTCACCCCTTCTACTTCAGCTGCTCTCGCCTTCTAGCAGCTCTGCGCATATGCACACTGGGAGCAGGCTCCCCTGGGTCCTCTGCTTTGCTGCTGCCACTCCCAGATGGTCTTGGCCCCATCCCTTCATTGGATGCAGGACCCTTGTCCAAGTCCTCTCCAGACTCCCTGACTGGTCCCCTTTCTTCCTCACTGTCCGACTCTACTGCTGTCTGCACCGGCTCCTGGCAAACCACAACAAGAAGAGTCATTCCCTCCTAAAGCCTGAAGGGCCAGATAAGTTCCTTTGAAAAAGCAGTATTGCCTGTCAATTTTTTTTATTTTTTTTTGGGGGGGGGCTCATTTCAGGTATTTTATTATGTTAAAATAAAGCCTATTTATAAGGTAAGCTTTTATGTCATTTATCTGACATCTATAGCTTCATTTTGAGAAGACAAGTATATGATTGAAAATATTTGATTTTAAAAGATTTATAAGGAAACCAGTGGTGCTTGAAAAAATAATATTAGCTTAAGAAAAATTAATAAAAAGTTAATATTTCTTACATCCATGTACGAAGCATATCAATTATTCTATTTAATTAGTAATCTTGTTCACTAATGGCTGAATTTTGAGTATTTAACTATTCATACCTATTGGATTTTGATGTGCTTCCCGACAATTTCTACATTCCTTTGTGAGAGCTACATGTATTTTGATATAAATGTGTGTTAAATGCCTGCTGTGTATCTGATTCATTTCTGAAATATATTGAATCCCAGCTAGTATATTGATGTGGATTTCCCTGCTCTGTATCATAAGCTACCATTGTTGTTATCTGTTAGCATTTTCTCTTACCTGGGTTAATATCAGGCCTGGTTTTATATAGCAAGATTAGAATCCATATCATGCAACTACGGATCATGAAACCTTACTTGTCTCAAAAGAACAAAGATCCAAGTAAAAAGAAGAAAATTGGAACTTCCTACCAGAATTAATTAAAAATACCACATAAAAATAAATCATTGGAGCACTTCTCAAAGGTGTGGAAATAACAGTGTCATGTTTTAATGACTCTGCACCTAAAGTAGTTGTAGCTACGTTCTCAAAGTAGCTCTTGATAATGCTTTGATTAGGGTTGCTTTGCAGACCCTAATAGTGCATTTACAGGGTTGCAATGAAGGTTCCAGCTAATTTTTGAGCTTGATGCTGTTTTCCATCAGGGGTTCTAGGTCATATACTTTCTCCTCGAATGCATTTCCCATCAGTAGGATCTTGGCTTTGAGTGTCACGGTTCCAAGCCCTGAATTGCAAGGGAAGAGACCAAAACACTCCAGCTAGAGTCACTATCACCTTTATCAGTAACAGTCTCGGTGCAGAGTAAAATGAATTGAAATTAGTGCTACAGCTTTCCGTACTCCTGTCCTGCCCCTTGCAGGGAATTCCTCTTCCTCATTCCATTCATGGCCCCAGCTGTTCCACGTTGGGCTCAATCACCGCTGTTTCCTGCTTTGCCATTGCGTCCTTGCACATACCTCCTGAGCCTTTCCCACTGCTTCTGTGGCTGCTGCTCCTCCCCTCCTGCGTGTGGCAGTACTCCTGGCCTTGATAGTCGCCAATTCGGAGGTTGACATTGAGCAAACATTTGCCACTTTCCTCATTTTCAGTATGATGGAAGTAAGCATGAAGAAAGCATTATAAGGTCAGAATAATGATGATGCCAGGAATTATTGGGGATAGAGGCTGGATGTTAAGTTTTGCATGTGCATAAAACAGAGACCTCAGTGTTCCAAAAATTGTAGATATGTGATATCATTCACTTTGCCTAATGGGTTCATGTCTATAGTTATCAATTTCAGATACCTGAAACCCCAGGGGGGAAAATGCAGTTTTCACACCTGTACTATTTTTCCAGTGCATTCACATATAAACTTTCCAATATTTTATGAGCATCACTAGCTTTTAAGTAACATTCTTCAGGACAGGTATATGATATCTGCATTACTTTTTGCATGATTGATGGTTTTCAAATACAGTAAGATGTGATGTTACTGAGTTGATCATTACTAAAGGTTAAAAACATGAAAATACAAGTATTTTTGCCACATGAATAGAATTTGACTGCAGTATCAAGAAAGTGTAATACTGAATACAAGAACTGCAATTACTGCAATGTAACCAATGGTAGAAAATGTTGCCGAAGCAATGTTTTAATAGAAGATAAAAATAAATTTGAAAGCTACAGATTGGACAATAAAAGGATATGTATCAAATAGACTGTGTTCTAGCTCACACAACAAAACTGTACCAATTGAAATGTTTTGCCTAAATGTTTCAAGTTGGTTGTGTTCTGTTAGAAAAGCTCAAGTGTTTCGTCAGAATAGAGCTGGAAATGTTTTGAGTCTCCTGGTCATCAGTGAGAACTTCAGATCAGCTTCCATTCAATAGTTTCTTATTTCAGATAAGCAAGGTGGTGTAGTTTATGTAAATGCTGCTTATTAACCAGATTGTAAAAAGTAATAGTCAACAATATGATAGTAAAATATTTTTGGAAAATTGCAATGAATCCCCTAAGAGAAAATAAGTCTGTTGTCATCAAAGTTTTCCAAAGTTATCTCCAAAGTGCCTTCAACCAAAAGAAGAGACCTTTTAAATTACTTCACATTTTTATACCCATATTCTTTGGGTATATTTATTTATTTGATAAATTTATATGCCATCCATCTCATTTTTGAAAAGTAAATATATAGGCCAAAAAGAAGTTTAGCTTATTATAGGCGTTGGATTTTTTGTTTTTATTTTTGTTGTTTTGTTATCTGTTAGAGGAAAGCCCAACAAAAGAAATTATTTCCATTTTCCTGATGTTTTTGCTTGCATATACTAATAGCTGATAGTTTAAAAAAAAAAGGAGTTAATGTGAGAGCATACACAGTGTAAATGCGTATATCAACACTAAAAAAACTCTCAAGAAAAGCAAGATTCATTATATATGTACCATCTCAATGGTAATAATACTGTGTTACTTGAGTCACATAAACGAGAATGAAATTAACACGTTAACATCTGAACTGCAGTTGCAGAGATATAAAAAATATACTTCAAGTCAAAAGGTTTTCCCAAAAGTAGGTAGCTTTTTGAATAGCTGAATCATAGAAAGTATGTTCAAGTTAAAATAAAGTAACAATCATTTGATTTATTGTTTAAAATCCTCTTCCTGCTACTGGAGGTAAGTATTCATTACTTGTATATAATAACACAATGTAAACAATATAAGATGCTTTTCAGATAACTGAATTATTCCTATACAGATTTGTAAAATGTGGTAAGACAATAGGGGAGTAGACAAACTTGAAACTTCTTGGGAAATTGACAGCCCTTATTTCAATAATTGAAATTAAAATGTAAAGCTTTCTCCTTTTTCTTAAACTAAGGCTTGGAGGATGTTTGTTTTACATGACCAATAAATCATTTCCATGTTGCCCTTATTTTCTCAGGCCATTGTCAAAAATAATCATTGTTTAACTTGCTTTGTAGTATCATGTTAAATTTGGACAAGAACCTTACATAGGAACAATTCCTATTTTAAAAGTTTTTGAAATGTTCATTTAAATAATACGCTTAAAGTTACCGTGGTTTATAATCTTCTATTGCAGTTTCTGTATTTTTATAAAAAATAGGACTATAGAGATTATTGCAATTCAATTCACTATTAACAACAGTTAACAATTTCTGTAGTTTTTACTTGCACTAGGCAATGCAATACTGTGCTTTACTGTCAGATTAATGCCAGCCCATTGCCATTGTAAACTTCTTAAAGCTGTTAACTTCATTTTGTATATTTTAAAGATTCCTGGATATCTCAGTCAGCTTCATTTCCAAGAAATCAGAAGCAACCAGGTGTAGATTCCCTATCTCCTGTGGCATCTCTTCCCAAACAAGTCTTCCAACCACCTGCACAACAGCAGCCTTCAAAGCAGGTTAAAGTTACATGTGCTAACTGCAAAAAGCCTTTGCAAAAGGGCCAGACTGCATATCAGCGGAAAGGATCTGTTCACCTTTTTTGCTCTACGACTTGCCTTTCATCATTTTCACATAAACCAGCTCCAAAGAAACTCTGTGTTATGTGCAAAAAGTAAGGATATTTCATTTGTTAAAACTATAGTCCTGTTAATTGTTCTAATAACTTCATGAATTCAATTTTATTATTTAAGAAACAAATGAGATACTTTTCTTTATGTTCTTTCATCAGTTGTTTGCATAATAATGTAGTCCTGGGCAAATATTAATTATTAAGGAGAGCAGGCTTAGTTAAGTTTGTTATTGGCTAGTAATAATTTACTATGATTGCTATTGTCTGTTCTGACATTTGGTGAGAATTAAAATTAATAGTGAATGTAGACATAGCTCTAATTTATAGGTGCATAAGCTAAATTTTAAAAAATGAAGAAAAAAGTCACATTTTCTAAATGGAAATTGGTTTGCATAATGATAGAAGTAACCCAGGTTTTCCGTGATAAATATCTACAGTAAACTAGTAGTCATATTGGAAGTTATTTTATTTATTTTATTTCTATAGCTACATCTATCAATAAGTGATATATTAAGATTTATTCTAATTTAAAATTCTGCTTTTTTGTAATAATTCTATCCATGATGCATTCAGATATTTTTTTAAAAAAAGACTAAATGGTTATAGAAAGTTGAGTTTCATACAAGCTTATTATAGCTGTTCAATTTTTGACCTTTATTTAATACATGTAAATAGAAAAGCAAGATCTTTTGATTTTTGGTGTTTGTCAGCAATAAATAGGAAAAGCATAATGGAATAATTTTGTTTGTAATGGCATTTATTAGATCATCATTTTTATCTCTTAATTTATCTCCATTGTTTTTTGGTTACTAATTAAAGGTAATAAGTATATTATTTGTAAAACATTGTGAAATAAAAAACTGGCTGAAAGAACACATTCCTTTTCCAATGTCTATCTAAAAAGCAATATCGTTTTTGATGTCAGTCATAATTGAGAATTCCATCACTTAAAGAGCTGGTAATTTAAAGAGCTGGTAACAAAACATACCAAACTCTCATTGACAAGTCATTCCTTTTTATATATATACATATCAAAACATGATTAATAGCATAAAAGGGGATAAATAGGGGTTGGAGGAAGAAGGTTGTTGGAGTTATATCTTGTTACATCAGTACATTAAAAGTTTCATAAAAGCAGGATGATAGAAATTACTTTAGTTTTTGTTTGACCAACTATATTTATTTTCCTCTGTCATTTTTTGTAGCATTAGTTTTTCATTAAAAATAGAAACACGGACTCTTGTTAAGAAATTACACTATCTTCAGATGAGATTGAGTATTACATTCATAACAATCTGATAGACCAGGTTCTTTTTAAAGAACTGAAATTTCTGAGAATAAAAAACACACAATGGTCACTAAAGTACTGAATAATTTTGTTTTTCAGAGACATAACAACAATGAAAGGAACCATTGTTGCTCAGGTTGATTCAAGTGAATCTTTCCAGGAGTTTTGCAGTACATCATGTCTGTCTTTCTATGAAGACAAACAGAATCCTTCAAAAGGAATCTTAAATAAGTCAAGATGCACTATCTGTGGTAAACTAACTGAGGTTTGTTTGCTATTTTTCAGTGATTCCCCCCCCCCCCCCCATCCATTTTATTGGAGTTGCTTAAAATTTTATCAATATAATTATATTTTTGTTTACTTAAATTTTCATGGGTACTTACATGTATGGTATTCAGCTTTGTTTGGGTATTTTCCCACGTCATAGCTGTGCTTTTAAAGTTGTAGCAACATTTCGGCAGAATCTCATCTGCCATCATCAGGCTTCTGTATTGTGAAGCCTGATGATGGCAGATGAGATTCTGCCAAAACATTGCTACAACTTTAGAAGCACAACTATAATGACGTGGGAAAATACCCGAACAAAGCTGAATACCAATTATATTTTTGTTTAGAGAAAAACAGTGGTTTAGTAAAGGCTCCCTGCTAACTAGTTGAAATTTTATTTGATGTATCGTATTTCATCTCTTGACAAATACTCATACTAAGTAGAAGACATAAAAGTTCTATAATTGAATGAGTAAAGCACCATAGTGGCCTTTGGAAATTCTCCTGTAGACATCTACTAAGCCTTTCCCCTTCAGATTTGTTTTAATTTTTTTAAAATATTTCCTAATTGGAACATTTGAGCATGCAGTCCCAGCATGTGATACACACACGTACACACACACACACTGTATTCTCCTGTATCTGCAAGAATGTGTAGTCTATTTTTCAGAGAGAGGAATATCAGTTGTATATCAAAGCTGTGCTGCTGTCCAAAGAAAATAAACTGTTGTGGAGTAGGACTATTAGGACAAGTGGAGGTTGAGAAAGAGCAAATTAGCTTTATGTTTTAACATTGAAATTTAAGGGCATTCTTATATTTGTGTTGTTGTTTTTTTAAAAAAACCTCACTTTTGTTAACATCTGTGAACATAATTTTGTGTAACTTATAAATGCATTATCATGACTTAAATTTTTTAAAACCAATAATTACATGTCTATTTAATTTCTGTAGTGACTGACTATAGTGATGATAAAGCAGCATGTCCTTCGTGGTTATAATCTTTATACAGAAGGCTATAGAACTACCTCCGTTTTTAAAATAAGGAATTTTTCTGAATTGTTATATGATGTATTTTCTATACAGCTAAAATGCCTAACATCTATATTTTAAGTGGCAGTCTAACCTATTTCTGAAATGGCAGGTTCCAAGGTTGCTTAAACAATTAACCTAAAGTTATGCTTGAAATTCATAATTAAAATAAAACTATATTTTCATATAATTTTTTTTTGCTTTTAGATACGTCATGAAGTTAGCTTTAAAAACATGACTCATAAGTTGTGTAGTGATCACTGCTTCAATCGATACCGAATGGCAAATGGTTTAATCATGAATTGTTGTGAGCATTGTGGAGAATACCTTCCAAGTAAAGGTGCAGCAAACAATATTCTTATGGTTGATGGAGAGCCGAAAAGATTCTGTTGCCAAAGCTGTGTTAGTGAATATAAACAGGTAACTTCTACATTTATTTTTATGTAACACTTGTAAAGTAAAATCTTCAGTTAGATTGTATCATTACAGTCAAGAGTTGTGCTTTTTGTTGTCAATTTAGAAGCATGTTTGCTAAACTATGAAGGCAAAAAAAGAATATGTTGTGACTCTACTGATTGGAGTCGTATTTCCAAACGTTCTTTTCACTTGGATTTGTAAAATATTGTTTTGCTTTTTACAGTAAACTATGTTCGATAACATTCTGTTCACAGTAAATGAGGTTTCATTTTTTATCATAACCTAGAAGTTATGTGCTTCATTTTAGAAAGTCCCAGTTGTTTTGAAATGAATAAATAATAATAACTATTACCCTACAAGTTTTGTCTGCCTGCACAAGTGTCTCACCAAGGATCTTGAAAGTGAAATAGTAGTTGACTTTTTCCAGAGGCAATTATTATTTTGAATGTGTCCCCCTTTCTATGGATAGTTCATCTGTAACTATGAAGCAAAATTGCCACAACTAAATTTCTACAGCAGGCTCTGTTTAGACAACATAACCCATAATTTCCAATAATATAGGTGTACTTACACTCTTAGTGTTTTTGTTTTCTCAAGTTTAGGGTGATATATTTCTGTTTTTACATGGGGGGGGGAGGGGGGAATTAGTCTCAGTAACCTGAAGTTATTCCATCCAGTTTTTCCTGCTTCCCTGTATCCCAGTTCTTTTCAAAGTATTTTTGGATCTTCAGAAGATTGTTCTCTGGAAGCACAGATTCTTGGAGTTCAGGAAAGTTTCTGTAACAGAAACTTCCTTGTGCATTGAGTGTAACCTTTGAACTTTAGGCTAGTTCAATGTTTTTCAAGATACTTTTTAGAATATCCTATTTTAAATGACAGATTTTCTTTTTTTTTAATGAAAATTTTAGCTAGTCTTTTAAAGATACATTATAGTGAGTGAAAATACCCTAGAATTTCTGTTTTAATTTATCCTGTTCAAAATGTTGAGATGCTGCTTATATTTTTGATAATATGCAACCAGCACTTTTAGAAACATAACACAGGCCTTGTTGTTTTATTACACAGCAAAACAAAAGGGGCAAAATAGGTTATCCAAGATACTAAAAATGATAGGCATACAGAGAAGCCACGGAGAAACTTGGAGAAGCCTTGAATAAGATTTCATGAAGGAACCCAAAAGATACAAGAATAACATGCATTGCAGAAATTCCAAGTGAACATGAAATGTGGTTAAAAGATAACTCTGTATCTCAGTTTATTGTGACTTGTACATTTTTTTCACCTGTATAGATACTTCATGCTATTTTACCATATTATCCCATATGTTTTCAGAAGAGTGAGGTCATTTGATATGTGTAGAGGCCATTCTAAATTAGTATTTGAATCCTTGATATTTTTTTTTAACTTTGGGATCTATATTGGGAAGTTATATGGGATAGAATAACACATAAAACAGTTTATATATGTAAGTGATAGTGGGAGGAATGATTTTAGTATCTGTAAAATGGAAAGATAATAAATCATTGCATTCAGTTGTCATTAAGCACTCTTATAGTAACTTTTTCTGGTGTTTTTTGACTTCAGTGGATAATAATATATTTGACCATTGCAATGCAGTAGGGTTGTATGTCTTATAGTGAAATGTAGTAGGCTTACTTTCCTTTATTGTTGCTTATTCTCAGAAGCAATTATAATGAGTAAATTTTCTATATTTCACTGTAAGCAACTGTTGGATCTTACCATAAGAGAAAGTCATGAATTTCCATTGCGGTTAATATTTAGGCATGTAGTTGATTTTATATGCTTCTGACATGCCCCAGTAAAAGAAGCGAGCATTACAGTGTATGAATAATATTTTGTGGAGATACTTATATTCTTTTATCTCTCTATACATGAAAATCTGTTAGCTTCAAATAACTTAGTTTAGAAACATTTAATAAATCAATGGCTTTTTAGGCTAAACTTAAATTATCTTTATGTAGGATGTAGGATAAAATTTTAGTACCCTTAGATTTAGTATTTTGCATAAGAGTTTTAATAGCTGAAATTTAAATAAAAATATTAATTGCATAGGTGTTTGATTTAAAACTCAACATATCATTAGTTACAGTTAAGAACATTGTTTAAAGATGTTTAAATATTGAGAGGTTTTCAGTCTAATAGAATAACAGAGTGCCATTACAGGGCTAAATGATTGTTTCAAAAATTTGGGCTTTATCTTGAAAATTAGTTGAAATTTCTCCTAAATACAGTAAGCTATAAAAATGCTGATTTTGCCTTTTGCTTTTATAAAAGTTGTATTAAATAGCTGCACAAATATTTGATATTTATGTAGTAAGAAAAACTAGAACTGATACGATATTTGTTCCTACTTAATATTTGTTAATAAATACATTTTTACAAATTACTTTTTTTTGAAGTAATTGCTTGAGTTCCAACTCACTTTGGTCTTGTTCAGTTTCATTCTTGTTAGCTTTAAGAATAGCTTTCCAAACTACTGTTCTAGATTGTTTATTCTTTTTTGGACTATCAGCTTTTCTTGTAATATGATTGCCATGTGAGAAAAGTGCCCAGGTGTTTGCAAACTAAAGCATATTTCATTCTGTATGGTTATACAGGAATGTATAAGAAGTAAGGAAAGCACTGCTTTTTAGCCCGTGGGATTGTACACACTACATATCATTGACCATTTTCTCAATGACACTGTAGAGTTGTAGACCAAATAAGGCTTTTCTCTGTTTTTCCATGAAGCCATACTGAACTGCCAAAAGGAATTGAGTTTTTATTTAATTCTTCTGAGAAATGACCCTTAACATTTAGTATGGTCTCAAGGAACATCGTTATAGGCATCAGTCCACAAAGAGGAGTGTAAAATGAGACATTTAATAGGCCACCCACTTTAGAAATATGCATTCTGATAGCTGGCTGATTCCAGTTTTTGAGGGAGTCCTTTGTCACAATTATTGTTCACTGAATAAATGAGGGTATCGACTCTAGTTTAAGAATTTGGAAAGGGAAATAATTACTTATGGATAGTCCTCATTTAACATTGGAAATTTGGACCAGAATTTCCATTACTAAGTGATGTATGTAGTTGTAGGCGCAATGTCATGTGATGACATTCAATCATCATGGGTCATTAAGCAAGGGCATTGCCATTTGCAATCTCTGGCCATTTACTTGCTAGTAGGAAGCAGGGAAAGAAAGTTGCAAATGGCAGTTATGTGACTATGGGATGCTGCAACCTCATACAAGTAGTCCTTGACTTAAAACAGTTCATTTAGTGACTGTTCAAAGTTACAACAGCCCTGAAAAAGTGACTTATGACCGTTTTTCACACTTACAACTGTTGCAGCATACCCGTGGTCATGTAACAAAATTGGGATGCTTGGTAACTGACTCATTTAAGATGGTTGCTTTCTTGCAAGCAAAGTCAACGGGTAAGCCAGATTCACCTAACAACACCTAACAATGTTACTAATTTAAGAACTGCAGTGATTCACTTAACAACTGTGGCAAGAAAGGTAGTAAAAATGGGTAAAATTCACTTAACAAATATTTCACTTAGCAACAGAAATTTTGGACTCAATTGTGATCATAAATTGAGAACTACATGTAATTGCAAGCCAAGTACCTATTGCCAGGATCATAATCAAATAATGACAGGGACAAAGCAGCAATAATGAGTACATAGAGTGGTTGTAGGTACCACTTGTTCTCTGCAGTCATAAGTTTGAATGGTTTCTGAGTGAGTGGACATTAAGCGAGGACCACCTGAAAATATGTGATAACTTTTATGTTACTAGATTGTCTGCTTTAATATAGTAAATGAATGTCATATTTGGTATTGAGACATTAAATCCTGGATGTGATTTATTTTTAAAATGAACATCTAAAGTTACTATAGTAACAAATATATGTAAATGAAATTGCAAAGATTTATTTTAAATTTAATTATTAATTATTTAAAAGATAATGCTGTTATTTTAATAAATTGAAATAATACAAAGAACTTCCATTTACTATACGAGGACCTCAATTGGCCTTGTATTTTTATCTGAATTGACTATAGTGAAGCCAAAATGGCAGCAAAAATATTGGTTAATGTTAGGGCTAAATGTTTTCTTTAAGGCAAGATTTGAGTAGACAGGAAAAAAAATTGGCAGGTGTATTTTTGGTTATGTTGTCCTATTTTATCAGTGAAATTAGACTTATTAAGTATCCTTCCTATGAACAGTTTTAAAAGTCCAGGACAAAATCTAGGAATCTTTGAGAAAAGCAATATAGGCCCACTTACTTTTCTAGGTATTAATATTGGATACTGTAAGGAGTGAATTCCCTTAAAAATTGTGCTCAGCTCCTTTTTGGATTTTAGAACATTTCTTAGCCAGGTTTTGTTTAAATTAAAGTGGTTAAGTTTAACAATTTAATTAGTTGAATTTTTGAATTTTTTTAGAAACATACCATACTGTAGTACTTTTACAGTAAGCATCCTTTGAGTGCTTCTATCCCAAAGAGAGAATAAAACTGGTAAAAGTTTGTCTGACTATATATGTTGCCAATGTTAACATGGATAAACTTTGGGATGGAGAAAAGAAGAAGAAATGTGGAAATGATATTGAAACATTTTTGTATGCTATTTATTTTATTCATTATTTGAATTTTGTAGCTCCTCCAAAACCTCTGGAATATGATAGTATTTCATAAATCATATACTCTATGTTTTAGTATGGCAAGTCTTTAGCAACTATGGGCAATATAGTGAGTATGCATGTCTGCTTAAATACATTTTCATAATTCAGGAAACATTTTACATAATACTTTGAATGCATAAGTTATACATGTGAATAAAAAAGACATAGACTTGAGAACGTAGTTTTTAATCATTTGGGGAAATGTTGATGTGAACTCAACCCCCATCCCCACCCCGGTTTTGGAAAAGATATATTGTTGAAAAATAATAGAAACAAAATAAGATTTTTAAACAAGAAAAATATTTATAC